CTTTCCCCAAATTGCCTTTATGTCTCCCATGGCGATAATGTTTGCAATGGTCTCTTCTTCGAAAGTCGCAATCCATTTACTTGCACCATCATGTAGGCAGGGCAGACGTTGTATCAGTCCTTCTAAGTCCATAGTGGCCCAGGGCACGTACTGGAGATCCCTGCCTTTTGCTAGCAGCGGATATTCTGATCCCTCCAATATAGTTGATGTGACAGCTGGTTCTTGTGAAACGAATGACACTTCTCCATTTAGTATTCCTTTTTCCTGTATGACCCCTTGACCGTTGTTGAATGAGATACGAGAAGATGGTTCAATACGTGCGGCGTCGTTGGCCTCTTCGGTTAGGACGTGGTCATTGGACAGAGATCGTGTCAGTGTGCTTTGTTTCTTCAAGATGTTTTTCCAGGGTGGGATCAGTTTAATCTCCTTCTGACTCGCCCCTTTCTCCATTTCTATTATGCTCATGTCCAGTAATGAAGGCTCTTGTGAAACCTTTTCGATGATTTCCTCTTTCTCACTAACTTCCTCCTCTTCTATATCCCCTTCTAAATCACCATCTATCCCCTCTGCCCTTCTTAGAGACCTTTTTACATCATAGCTGTAGCCACTGGCTCTCCTCCCTTTCCTCCCCTTCCAGGGGAGGAGCTCCTCAGACCCCTGCTCCGCCACAGGTGTCTTTCCTTCAGTGAGAACTGGGTACAATGCATTTTTATCAGACTTCAATATGTAATCACCACTGAATGATCATTTTCTTAAAGGCATCTGAGCGGAGTATGGTGGAGGATTTGCCAAACTGTTTCTTAGTAGTCTCATCTCTGGCTGTGACTAATTTATTAACGTGTTGCTTGCATGCCCTCCACAGAGTTTTGCCTGATTCCTCAAACAGTTTTAACACCATAGATTGTTTTTCCCTTTTTTGTATGCGTTTTTGTGATTTGTCCTTTGGTTTGTATGTTTTAATTAAAATTCCATTTCGGTTGCCTTCTCCAAATCAAATGTACCCTCTGGTGGCCAAGGTGCCTCGTGATCTTTCGTAATTTTGTGCCATTTCTCAGAGCAACTTTTTATTTCCTCTGCCAAGAGCGGGTACTTTTTTCCTAGAATTTCTACTGGGTTACAACTTTGCGCTTGCATTTGCTGCTGTGGGGCATTACCGCCACGCCCAATCTTACAGCGCCTCATTGTTTACTTAGGTTGCTTTCAATAATACTATATGGGTGTAAGCCAAAATTTAAGTGGGAGTTGTGAATTTAACAATGAGAGAAGCTTTTAATATCAGTTCAAAAGCAAGTTGTGCTGTTTAGGAGCAACCCACAATCTCTCAGTCGGTAGTATTTAGAGACAAAATGTTTCACAGCACAACAATGACAGCTTGCCGCAATTCAAAAATGCTGTTTAAACAAGACCTGGTTTGTTTGGACAACAGAATATATTTTAAAATTGTGTAAAATTAGGTAATACAGCCTTTGAAACCGTCAACAAAACCCTAAGAGCAGTCCCATCTCAAAGTTACGCCTCCGTGCTTTACTCAGAGCACAGGAGAAGTAGGAGAGCAAAGGGAGGGGCTGTATGTGTGTGTGTATATATCAAGCCAGACCAGAGCGCAGCTGATGATTTTTCAAAGTTAAATCAAATAACCCTTTTGACTTCACCATTAACGGCACAAAGATATAATTGTACGTACGTAATATGTCTGTATATATTTGTAAAAGAAAAGCTTTTCACTGTAAAATCAAGAAATCAAGAAAATAATCTGACACGCATATACAATAACGAGACAGGACAAAGATACATCAACCGGTTTTTAACTTATTTACAAAGCGCTTTGTGTGGGAATGGCCATTTTTCGTTTCTCATAACTCATAACTCCTAACTCATAACCCCGGAGCACCGTAATAACAGATAGCTGTCCCCCCTTTTCCCCAGGTGATCACCCCAGGGGTTAGAAAGACCCTGTTATTGATTTAGGACGACCTTTCCGGATTCACAGATCGCTCAACCTACTTATATTTTTGGGTCAAAAAGCTCTATTTTTCTCTCACAAACACGGGCTCGTGCCTGTTTATACTCGGTCCAACTGTCAGACCTCCGCGCTGACAGTTCCCACAAGGAAGCCGAGGGACACGATCTCGCAGTCTCTAACTCTCACGACTCAGAAATTTCCCGACTTACGTGTTAAAAACACAACGTACAATGACAATGGACTGCGTTAACACTTTTTCATTTTATGTACTCTTTTCCGCAGTCACTAAATTTCACGACTCCGAAATTTCCCGGCTTACGTGTTAAAAACACAACGTGCATTTGCCAATAGACTGATCTCGCAGTCTCTAAATCTCAAAGTCAAAACATTTACCGATTTACATGTTCAAAAACACTACGTAGTTCCAATGGACTGCCATAACTCACTGTTTCTTTTTACTTCCTTTTTCTATAACAACATTAACCACATACATTCAAAACATTCATATATTAGTAAATATTAAACAGTTTTACATGCGATTGCCAGATCTCCCCAACACAGGACTTTTTAAAGAGCCAAAAAGGGTCTTACCAACACCAACTTAGCAACCTCCGGTACAAAAAACACCCAAAATATAAGCAAAATTGCTTACCTTATTTTGTGGCCACTTTTTGGGGGTTCGTTGCGTCGGAGGCCGCCGGTTGGTATTGTGACCTATTGCCTGTTTTCTTGGCATCTGCGGCTGATTTAGTTCATGTTCTTGCCAAAAAAGTGTGGGCCCGTAAAAGGCGTGGAGGCCTGCTCGTGCGTCTTAGGAGAAGAGGAGCGCGCACGGCTCTCCCCGGCATTTTTCTCTCCAACGTACGCTCACTGGGCAATAAGATGGACGAACTCGGCCTGCTGATGAGAAGAAACAAGGACTTCGCCACATCCTGTGTCCTCTGCTTCACTGAGACCTGGCTCAATGAACGGATCCCGGACAGTGCTCTGGAGCTTCAGGGCTTTGAGCTGTTGTTTTGGCATTGTGCGCTATCAGGAAAGAGCAGAGGCGGAGGGCTCTGTTTCTACGTCAATACAAACTGGTGTAACGATGTGACAGTGATCTCCAAGCACTGTTCTCCTGCTCTGGAATATATTTTCATTCATTGTAAACCATTTTACACCCCTCGTGAATTTGTTTAATTCATTCTTGCTTCTGTTTACATACCGCCATTTGCGGACGCGCGCTAGGCTCAGCGTGCACTCGCAGAGCAAGGACTATGTATGGAGCGTTTATACCCGGATTTTAATAAGGGAAACTTGAGCCAGGAATTACCCAAATACAGTTTATCAAATGCCCGACCAGAGAGGAGAACACTCTGGATCACTGCTACACCACTGTGCGCGGAGCTTTTTGCGCTGTTCCCCGAACTGCCCTCGGCTTCTCGGATCACTCCATGATACATCTGATCCCTGCTTACAGACAGAGACTAAAGCTCTTGAAACCTGTAGTGAGGAGCCCCAAAGTGTGGTCTGATAAAGCTGTGGAAGAGCTGTGCGCATGCATGGAGTCTACAGACTGGGACCTTTTCAGAGCTGCCACAGACAGTTTGGATGACTACACGGACACTGTCATACATTCACTTCTGCGAGGATTGCATTATTCCAACAAGGGCCAGGGTCATCTATAACAACGACAAACCCTGGTTTACTGCTAAACTCCGGCAGCTCAGGAAAGCAAAGGAGTCTGCTTTCAGGGAGGGGGACCGCAGAGGCTACAAAGCAGCTAAATATCAGTTCAGGGATGAACTGAAAGCAGCCAAGTCCCGGCACAGAGAACGACTACAGGAGCAGTTTGGTAACAACGATACTGCTTCTATCTGGAGGGGCCTACGGGAGATCACCAACTACAAGCCCAAAGCCCCCCCCTGTGCTGACTACCACAAGCTAGCTGACGACCTGAACTTTTTTTTCAGTCGCTTTGATGCTGCTCCTGACACCTTCCCCACCCCCACTACTCTAACGACCCACCCATCAGCCCTGCCCCCACCCTGACAATAGCCTCTAAAGATATCAAACAACTCTTCTTGAGGCTGCACCCCCGCAAAGCTCCTGGCCCGGACCACGTGTCTCCGGCCACTCTGAGACACTGCGCCAGTGAGCTTCTGCAGTCCTGCCATGCCCCGGCCTGCTTCAAATCCTCCATCATTGTCCCCGTCCCGAAGAAGCCCAGGATCAGAGGACTCAATGACTACAGACCTGTAGCACTTATGTCTGTCGTCATGAAGTCATTTGAACGCCTGGTCCTCTCCCATCTCAAGTCCTTCACCTCCCCCCTCCTGGACCCCCTGCAGTTCGCCTACAGAGCCAACAGATCTGTAGACGACGCCATTAACCTGGCCCTCCACCACATCCTACAGCACCTGGACTCCCCGGGGACCTACGCCAGGGTCCTGTTCGTGGACTTCAGCTCTGCCTTCAACACGATCCTGCCATCCCTGCTCCAGGACAAGCTCTCCCAGCTCAACGTGCACGATTCCACCTGCAGGTGGATCACTGACTTCCTGACAGGAAGCAGCGAGTGCGTCTGGGGAAGAATGTCTCGGACTCTCGGATTATAAATACAGGAGCCCCACAGGGCTGTGTTCTTTCTCCCCTGCTCTTCTCCCTGTACACCTACCACTGCACCTCTAGCCACGACTCCGTGAAGCTGATCAAGTTCACGGATGACACCACCCTCATTGGACTCATCTACAACAACGATGAGTCCACCTACAGGAGGGAGGTGGACCGGCTGGTGTCCTGGTGCAGTGGTAACAACCTGGAGCTGAACGCCCAGAAGACAGTGGAGATTATTGTGGACTTCTCGAAGAGTACTGTCCCCCCGCCCCCACCCTCCGTGATGGACTCCCCCATCACCTCTGTTTCCTGCCGTTTCCTGGGCACCACCATCACCCAGGACCTCAAGTGGGAGCCGACCATCAGCTCCCTCATCAAGAAGACCCAGCAGAGGATGTACTTCCTGCGGCAGCTCAGGAAAGCCAAGCTGCCTGCACAGATGTTGGTGCAGTTCTACACGGCCATCATCGAGTCCATCCTCACCTCCTCCATCACCGTGTGGTTCGCTGGAGCCACAGTCAGGGACAAACAGAGACTACAGCGCATTGTGCGCTCTGCAGAGGAAGTGATCGGCCGCAGCCTTCCATCGCTGCAGGACCTGTACGTCGCCCGAGCTCGAGGCCGGGCTGGTCGTATCACAGCCGACCCCTCTCACCCTGCACATGGACTATTCCAACCTCTCCCCTCAGGCAGGAGACTGCGGTCCATCAGGACTAGAACCTCCCGCCACAAGAACAGTTTCTTCCCCTCTGCTGTTGGACTCTTGAACACTTTTTAACCTGTCCCCCCGCCCTTTATAAAGTCACTTTACTGCCCATCATACGTCACTTTACTTCACTGTACTGCTGTCACCTTACATTGTGTGCACCATGTGCACTTGTATATTGTAAATAGTAACTGTAAGTCTATTTTAAATTTAAATGTATTCCTTAGAAGTGTTTTTTATTCTTTATTTTGTATTATCTCTTTCTGACTGTTGCACTGAGCCAAAGCAATTTCCAAGTCCGTGACTTCCTGTTACTTACGTGGCAATAAAAATGATTCTGATTCTGAAAAATACAGCAGAATTTCGATGGGTTTGTTGTTAGCATCTATGCTAAATTCTCCAATAATGCTAACGTTAACAATCTTGAGGGGCAGTTAAGCAAGTGTAGTTGTCTCCTAATGGTGTTTTGGTGTTATAGGCATGTAGTAGAGAGGTTCTTAGTTGACAAAATAGTCCTTGTTTTTGATGCACTTGCTAGCGCAGTAACTCTGCTCAGATAACACCTTTTCTTTTAGCATAGTTACATAATATAGCTACATATAGTTAGAAATGCTAGGAAATGTTGTATTGTTTTAACTTACCTTCAAAATTGTGCAAGTACTGAGAGGTGAAAAGATGTAAATCCCTTCTCTTTTACTCTGAGGAGCAGGAGACAAAAACATTTAACAATCCAATGAACATCATCAATGGATATATTTCGTAGATTCCCAAGATATCTAGAAAAATGCAAATCTGTGTTTGCTTGAGCCATTTGACGGACCAAACCAGACCTGAAGCTGAGACTCCACTCGCGGCCATTTTGGATAGCTCCAGTAGAGCACATTTTTTGGCCCATTAGTTAGAACGGCGGGGATAGGCGTGACTCTGTCCATTAATATATACAGTCTATGGTGTGTTTCTATGGTTACATCTACAGAGTGTCGTTCTGTTTAGTCCAGCGAGCGCTGTGACCATAACTGGACTTTGCCGCTGGCTCCTGGTGCGGATTCAGTGATAGTTTTAGCAATAGTCCACTTTTCTATGGCTTGTTTGGGGTGCACCGCTGGTCTGCTGTCCTGACCCTCCACATGGTGTGCTGCTCTGACCCTTCACATTGTCTGTGTCAGCTCTGGAGACACATTTACTGCTCAAACTGCATCCAAATGTAGCCCAACCCTGACTATATTACTCCATGCCTGCTTCACCTCTGTCTCTCCTGCTCAGAGTGCTCAGGCAGTGATCATTGACCAAGACACCCACAGAGCTCTGCTGCCACCTGCTGGCTTAATAAAATACTGTCTACAGCCAAACCCCAGACATATATGATACACAGACACAGACGGACACGAAAAGATTGTACCATCGACGTCAACATTGTTTTTCAATCTCAGTGGTACATTCCTGGTTAAATAAAATAAAAATAACTTCTTCTTTTTTTCAGTAATTCTTTGGCGTACCCCTAGAGGTACCCCATTTTGAGAACCACTGGTTTAACCAATGAAGCTAACTTTTTATTTTACGCTTGTTTCTTAACAAGTTGATCAAATGACGTGGCTGGTTTGTTAAATGTGCAAAGTGTAAATGTAATTCTTTGGATCACCCTGTAGGGGGCGCTAATGCTACAATTTCATGTTTTTCACATTTAGCTGACCTAGATCAAAGAGTTTAACAACTGATTCATTTTTGGTGCTAATCGAACTGTATATGAGTAAATGGAAGCAAAATTTTAATTGTCAATTGTCTTTGTTATCCGCTGCTGGCACACTATCTAATCTATAAAAATTCTGCAGCGACATTTTTATGTTACATGTGTTGAGATGAGCAATTTTGAGACAAATTGGTCAATAGCGTGTGGTGAAAATAAGAGAAATGTGTTAATCATTGCCACAACAACACAATAAAAACATGTCTACATCCTCTGGATCAGAATGTCATATTTGTGCGAAATTTCCAACAATTTGACAAAACTACATTTCTTTTTCCCCATGTAAAATGTACAACCTTGGCTAACTCTGTAGGGGGCGCTAATGCTGTATTTTCCCGTTTCATGCAAATTGGCCAAAAGAAGTTTCCAATTGAGAAAATTATACATTTGCGATAAAGAATGTATAACTTATCAATATAGTGCAGCTAACCTTTGATGGTACATGGGTTTAGATGATGTGGTGCAATTTTGAGCCAAATTGGTGAAACGGCCGAGGATGGTTTGTTTTCCAACAGACCTGTGGGAAATTTTACCAGTTGTCATTTTTTCGTTTTCCCTTCACCACCATATTTTAAATATAGGTATATAATTCACACATAGCATTAATCTCCTGTTTATTTCTACACAACACACCACAAACCGCTCCCAAACTCTCAGAGCAGAGGGTGCAACACATGATAATTGTGGAGGATTAGGGGATCTTTTTCGTTGAAGTGCTTCTTTCCATCAAATAACGTTTTTGCCATTGCTAAAGTAGGGAATACGCTGTTTGCTAAAGCTAAAGTGTACCTCTGTCTTGCTCCTCCTCCTTCTCCGTGCACACACAGGAGCACAGGAGTCGCTGCTCCTCCTCACACACCTCTGTCTCGCTCCTCCTCCTCCTCCACTCATATGCACCCAGTGTGAGCAGCTGAATGCAAGCGTCCATCGCTACTTACACGGCGCTCATTCCCGTCTCTTTCCCGTCTCTGACTCACTCGGATTCAGACACTGCTAAAGTTATTTAGCCGCCCTCGCGCCTGCCTGTTTACAAATCACTTTAGGTGAAAATTTGACACATCATTGTAATAATGTACTTTTGCACTCTGAGGTCCAGAGAAAAGGGTTACGGGGTCCGGACCTGGACCTGGACCGCAGTCCGCCATTTGGGGACCCCTGCAATAGACCCTATCCCTTGTCGGGACATGGGCCTAATAAGAATTTTTTTTTCAAAACTTCTTGAGCAAAAACAGTATAGGTTTCCATGGTACATGATTCCATCATATTAAAGCATTTGAGTAGACGCACGCAACTGTTGCGTTTTGGTGAGTGGCGGGCCCTGAGGCATCCGTCACTCACCGCAACCTCTTGGATTCACCATTGTGAAAGCAATATAAAACGTATATTATCTGTACTTAAGGTCTGATTCAGGATTATTTCAGTATTTTGTTATGTATTTGTCCTCAGCCTTCACGTAGCTGCTGCTCGAGGGCAGACTGAATGCCTGGTGGCAATCCTTTCCCAGGGAGTGGACCTGTCCATCACAGATTCAGCAGGTAAAATCACCACTTTAACTATTTTCACTAATCAAACATAATGCAAGAGTTGGCTTTGAACTTTCTCCAGGTTTAAGTCCTTTACACCTTGCAGCCAAAAACAATCACCCAGAATGCTGCAAAAAGCTCATCCAGGTACGAGCTGTTTTCTTGTGTCAATCGGCTTTTTTCATATTTGTCCTGAATAATACTTTCAATTGTTTTGATTTTCAGTGTAATTGTCAAATAGATGCCCTTGACAGTTTGGGAAAGACTGCGCTTCATCATGCTGGTATGTCAATGCTAGTAGACCATTTTTACATGAACAAATTGACACAAAAGGTTAAAGTAACTGTTCTTGTTATTGATCAGCTGCGAGTGGGAGTGTCCAGACTGTTCAACTCCTCTGCAAACAAAAGTCTCCCATCAACATCAGAGACGCAGTGAGTGTTTTCTAAAAATCCAGCATGTTTAAAGCTGGAGTACCTAACATTACAACAACAACAACCAAGGCCAATGATTAGTGAGTGTGTGTCTCAATAGAATAACGTTGGAACTTTACTCGTCTCTGAAGAAATATCCAAAAAGCACTCCATTTACAGTGGGGCAAAAAAGTATTTAGTCATCCACCAACTGTGCAAGTTCTCCCACTTAAAATAATGACAGAGGTCTGTAATTTTCATCATAGGTACAATTCAACTGTGAGAGACAGAATGTGAAAAAAAATCCAGGAATTCACATTGTAGGATTCACATGGTGGAAAATAAGTATTTGGTCAATAACAAAATAATAACTCAATACAATACAATTTATTCTTGTATAGCCCTAGGTCACAACAGAAGTCATCTCAGAGGACTTACCAAAACCATTGAAATCACCAACACAGGTCAGAGAATCATCAGTTAAAACACATGAAAAATATAATGCACACACGGAAGATAATGTCCATACATGTTGTAGAATGCTGTAGTGTCCTGGATCATCACCAATCCTTTCTGTTGGACACTAACTGTCCAACAAGACCCTCCTGCATCGACAAGGAAAAACTCTTAAAAAACCCATTGGGAAAAAGTGAAAAACCTTGGGGAGAACTAGGGAAACCCACAGGGAGGGAGACCCATTTGAGAAAGGGGTCCGCTCCTCCGGACGGACAGGCAAATGATCTAGGACCTAAGCTAGCTACAGAATGTGGACCAGTGGCCGCTGAACGTGGACAGGTCCGGTGCAGGACTGAAGCACTCCAAAGCGGGTCGGGCAGGGCAGTCCGCAGGTGTAGATGGAGGAGGCCAGGCTCAGAGATCCCGTCATCGTACCATGAAACAGACAATGGGACAACGGGTGAATAGCAATGAACAAACTACAGTCAAAATCCTAATAATGCTAAACAGGTAAAGTAGGAAGGAGGAGAGGATAGTGCTCAAGTTTCAATACTTCTCCCAGCAAACTGACTCTCTATGCAGCTTGACTGACAGTCTGAGGAGTTTAGCCTTCCTTGAGTCTTACCTTCCTAGCCATATGCTAAACTAAAGAGGACTCAATACTTTGTAATATAACCTTTGTTGGCAATAACAGAGGTCAAACGATTACTATAGGTCTTTACCAGGTTTACACACACAGTAGCTGGTATTTTGGCCCATTCCTCCATGCAGATCTTCTCGAGAGCAGTGATGTTTTGGGGCTGTCGCAAAGCAACACGGACTTTCAACTCCCTTCACAGATTTTCAATGGGGTTGAGGTCTGGAGACTGGCTAGGCCACTCCAGGACTTTCAAATGCTTCTTACGGAGCCACTCCTTCGTTGCCCGGGCGGTGTGTTTGGGATCATTGTCATGCTGGAAGACCCAGCTACGTTTAATCTTCAAAGCTCTCACTGATGGAAGGAGGTTTTGGCTCAAAATCTCACGATACATGGCCCCGTTCATTCTTTCCTTAACACGGATCAGTCGTCCTGTCCCCTTAGCAGAAAAACAGCCCCAAAGCATGACGTTTCCAACCCCATACTTCAGAGTAGGTATGGTGTTCTTGGGATGCAACTCAGTATTCTTCTTCCTCCAAACACGACGAGTTGAGTTTATGCCAAACAGTTCTACTTTGGCTTCATCTGACCACATGGCATTCTCCCAATCCTCTGCTGTATAATCCATGTGCTCTCTGACAAACTTCAGACGGGCCTGGACATGCACTGGCTTCAGCAGGAGGACACGTCTGGCACTGCAGGATTTGATTCCCTGTCATCGTAGTGTGTTGCTGATGGTAACCTTTGTTAAGGCCTGTGTACACTCGTGCGGCGCTGCTTACGGTTGCGGTTACGTTGGACCTACGTAACCACAGTTTGTGGTACACTTGCGCGTTCCCCGAATGTTGTAATCCCACAACCAACCACGTGATGGCAAACTCACAGGAGTTGCCTAAAGCCTGATTCACACGAGACGATTTTAAAATTGTCGGCCGATTTTTTTCTCTGTGTAAGACCTCACAAACGGAGATTAAAAAATCATGGGTCTAACCACTTTGGTCGTACAGTGTGTGGTGCGCAGCCACACAGCAAAAATCACACAAACCACACACATCGCACACGAACCGACTAACCCACTTAAACAGGCTGTATCTAAAATTGTGGTGCAGAATCTTGTTAATACTTTTCACCAGGGGTTAGTGGACATGTGTGCCTGTAATATGAGCAGCATTTGTGGGTGTGGTTATATTGAAAGTTTTTGAGTAAATTGAGTTCGTAAAACACCTGCGGCGCTGCAGCGCGGATGCGAAGCAGCAACAGTAGTACTGAGCGGAGCAAGAGCAGAGCAGAGGGAGAGAGTGTTTTTTCTTTTACTCACGAGGTCTTCAGTACCAGAGAAGTACTTGGTCTGGTACTGGCTCACTCAGATTCTGAGGAGGAAGACACGCAGGTGTCCAGTGAAGCAGACACAGACATTATTGGTGACGGGGAGACCGCACCATATAGTCCACAATCAGCCCCTGTACAGTGGCTGCTTGTCCTCCGTGTGGCCGCGGTAGAAGCATTCTGTGAACGCCATGCAGGGTCCGTGGTGGAGGGGACAGGGGGATCATAACACCGGGCATGTGGGAGAAAGTAGCGGGGGTAAACATCCACGGGGAACACGGGAGACGCGGGAGAAGTCGCGGGGGAGCGGCGGGAAAAAAACGCATCGCTAATCGTGTTCACTGCCTTTACCAACGGCGATGATGAAGATCAAGGCAGTTCTTGAGAGAAAATAATCCACAAAAGTGGATCAGAAGTGTTGAAGAGCCTGTTGTTTCTTGTTGAGACGATCTGACATGTTCTGAGCCCATTCATTTCATCTCTCCGTTTCTAAATGATAAATCCTGGAGCCACATTTCCACTGAGAAAAATAGTAAGCCCACCACTTCTTTGAAAGGGAAATATTGAAACCAATCTCCAGATTTCATGACTGTAAACTATAAAGAGTGCTGTCTTGATCACTGAAGGTCTTTGAAAATAATACAATTCCATATGGCCGCGAACCAGTGCTAAAACATTATCTATAATCTGGATCAGGGAATTTATTTCTATCCCAAATTCATTTCATACTAAAGATATTTCACATTGACTGTTTATAGTATTCCCTGATCTCAAAAAACTCTCAAGCTACAGCTTTTTTAAGTCTTTATACAATAATTAACATTTTCCAAAATGGCCGCCACCTTGATGACGTCACAATATGCAAATTAGATGACGAATCAACTTCCATCCCAAAGTTTGGTTCAGACTGAAGATATTTCTAATTTACAGTATGCTTTTATCTCAAACCATTTTGAAGTTATAGCCTTTTGAAATCTTGAAATCAAAATTGTATATTTTCTTGAAAAAACTCTGGCGCCTAAAGGGTTAACACACCACACACGGCAGGAAAATCCTGCTTTATTTTGTTACGATATTCGGAGCGTTCTTAAAGGAATAGTTCACCGTTTTTACATACTGACATATGTTCTTACCTTACCTTAGACTAGTTAATACGTACCTGTCTGGTCTTAGTCCGTGCGCTCTGTCATGCAAACGGAGCAAAAACGGGAGCACAAACGCAGCCTCCTCTGTATACTGTGTAGGACCAAAAGGTAGCTCCCGCTAGAAGCTACCAAACTCTTCCAAGTGTTCCCTATTAAATGTATATAGTTACGTGACGTGTTACACTGCAAAGTATAGTAACACAGAAATGTAACAGTCGATTTTCTCAGCGGATAAAACGGGTACTATATTGTGAGGCGTAGTAATCTGAGGAGCGCTACGTCCGCGCACTAACTTCTCTCCGTACTACAAGTCACGCTGCTTCTATTGACGGAAGTGAGCGAGAGAGAAGTCTCCGGAGAGAAGTTAGTGCGCGGACGTAGCGCTCCTCAGATTACTACGTCTCACAATATAGTACCCGTTTTATCCGCTGAGAAAATCGACTGTTACATTTCTGTGTTACTATACTTTGCAGTGTAACACGTCACGTAACTATATACATTTAATAGGGAACACTTGGAAGAGTTTGGTAGCTTCTAGCGGGAGCTACCTTTTGGTCCTACACAGTATACAGAGGAGGCTGCGTTTGTGCTCCCGTTTTTGCTCCGTTTGCATGACAGAGCGCACGGACTAAGACCAGACAGGTACGTATTAACTAGTCTAAGGTAAGGTAAGAACATATGTCAGTATGTAAAAACGGTGAACTATTCCTTTAAGATTGTCACAGGGGTAAATCGGGTCCAAAATCGGCCTAATTATCCTGCCGTGTGAACCAGGCTTAACCAAAGCGGTCCCATTTGTGCTGGTATACTTTCTCCTCTTCAGAACAAAAACAAAAGCGAAGCTGTTTGAGATACATGTGTTTCTACTGTAGGTTTAGGTGATAGTTCTAAACTCATCGTTTCAACTCTGATGTTGTGAAAAGACACAGTTCTTGTTGGAAAAACAGTTATTATTAAAGTGTATTCAGCACAAACAGCAAAACAATAAGTGGTAAATATCTGAGACAAATATGAACGATTTAAAATTGCAGGAGGAATGCAATAAGCTATGAGCAGATTCAAACAAAGACAGGAACAGTGCAAAAGACACGACTGCACAGTTTGTAAGTTATATATATGTTAGATATCCAACAGAACTTAACAGTCCACAGTCTCCGCGTGTGTATCAGGCTCTGCCAAGAGCCCAAACTACTTTTCCTTCGGTTCCTTCGAAGCACGAAGCAGTCTGCTTCATAGTGCCTCGTCCATGCTCCCTGCAGCCGCTCCATGCAGCCGCTCCATGCAGCCGCTCCATGCAGCCGCTCCATGCAGCCGCTCCATGCTTCCTTCCAATACACAGACACGGACCAATCACAGCGGAGCTTCCTTGCGGCGACCCTTACGTAGTTAGACATTTTCGAGGGTGCGCGGCAGGCAACGTAAGGGCCTTGCGGTGATCCACGCTTTGCGCAAGTGACGTCACGTCAACACCG